TTATTTTGATATATCACAGTGAAAGATTTATCGTCCTCTTTTTTTTTTTTTTTTTTTTTTTTTAAAAAAAAAAAAAAAAAAAAAAAAAAAAAAAAAAAAAAAATCAAATAGTTCCTAAGCAAGTAGAAACAAACAAACAAAAAACAAAAAAGAATCTTAAGACCTGCCTGTACATCTTACCACCTATGTCCTTTGGAAGATAGTCTCTACCTGGGTTTTGATTTCTCCATCTATAAAATGGCAGGGAACTTGTTTACCTAAGACTTCTAAATGCATGTTGAAAATAATCTGTATGTTAACTGTTCCAAAGCAAGGGGAACTAGATTTGGATGTGACACCTCCAAACATGTGGTCTCAGGTGTCATAGCATGGCTCAGGCTATTAAAGGAGACTCACTTTATGTCCTGGTACTTCTGTTCCAGGCACAGCTTTCATATGGAAATCTACTCCTCCCACCTTTTCCAATAAGGTGGTACTGCCAGTTGTTGGCATTGCTTTCTTTGCTTTTGCTTCTTCTCTCTCTTGGGCCAATCTGAATTGAAGGGCAAATAAAAACAAAAATAGTTAATCACGGGAAAATGTATATTTCCCTTTAGATAACCCAAAGTGAGTACCATAAGCATCTTCATAGTATTAAAAAAAAAAGCAAAATAAAACACTCTGTTAACTGCATAATGGCTTATACTATTTTCTGAACACACAAGACACTTTCATTATAGAATAACTGGAAAACACTGAAATGCAAAGAAACAAAGTATTCCATTTTGTTAATACTTCTGTGTACTTCAGCTTCATTCTGCACAGAAATACAAAATATTTAAAATGTAATTTAGGGGCTGGAGAGATGGCTCAACAGTTAAGAGCACTGGCTACTCTTGCAGAGGACCCGAGTTTGGTTTCTAGTACCTGCCTGACAGCTAGTAACTATTAGTAACTCCAGTTCCGATAGAATCTGATGCTCTCTTCTGGCCTCCATGGGCATTGCATGCATGTGGTGCACTTAAATACATGCAGGCAAAACTTATACACATAAAATAAAATATAAAAAAAATGCACTCTAGATAATGCACCCTACCACTCTTATGCTCTGCCACAGAAGGTGTTTTAGCTCTCCTTCATGGCAGACAGAAAAGACATTATCATAATCTCCATGGATACATTATTTTTTTCTTGTTGTGTTGGTGTCAAACCCAGGATCTCATGCATGCTAGGCATTCTGCCAAGAGCTACATATCTAAGCCCTTTCATCCACATACTTCTCAAATGTTTCCTATTTTGAAAATTCCCAAATGAATTTAATCTTTTCCCCTTGAAAAATTAACTTTAGGCTGTGAAAGCTCTTAATGGTTGCTACACAATCTTGCTCTGAAATCACATGCATAATTACCCTTATGTCTCTCATAGCTCTTTATCTTTCTATGACAATATCATTAAGTTAAAATCAACATATGTAATTCAATATCTTTAGTAGAATTTAAATGTACATAGGATTCAGAAAACTCCATTTTAAAATTTTTATTTCTTTTTTATTTCATGTGCATGAGTGTTTTGCCTGCATGTAAGTACACCCATGTCGTGTAATGCCTAGAGGTCAGAAGAGAGCATTGGATCCTCTGGAACTGGAGTTAAAGACAGTTATTAGCTAACATGTGAGTGCTGGAAATAGACCTTGTGTTCTCTGTAAGAGAAGCCAGTGCTCTTGACTGCTAAGTCATCTCTCCAGGCCCCAAACTCCACTTTTTGACATAAACTCTGGAGAAATACTTGTACATATACAAGAGACATCCTCATGAATCATCTATAGACAGCAGAGAGGGAAATAGTCTAAATGTCCATCAGTGGGAAGAGACCAACTGCACTGTGGTACAGACATTTTCTGAAATCATACAAATAGTTGTTACAAAAGAAGGGGAAGAAGGCCACATTACCACAGAGGAGCATGTTCAAAAAAGAAAAAAAGGGGGTGTGTGGAGTAGGGTTCAGTTTCCAACACCCACATAGTAGCTAAAAACTGTCCGTAACTCCAGTTTCAGGGAATTCAGTGCCCTCTTTTGACCTCCACAGGCATTGCACAACACAAGTGTACTTATACACATGCAGGCAATACACTCATATACGTAATTTTTTTAAAAAATAAGAAAAAAAAGAAATACACACACATGTAATAATAATAATACACACACACACACGCACACACGTAAGAACATTAAATTATTTTTCGTGGGGCCTGGAGTGAAGGAAGAGTTGAGAGAGTTCAGCTCTACTTGCAGTGTATGAATTTGCTAGTGTCCTAGTTTCATTTCCATTGCTGTGATAAAGCACCCTGACAAAAGGCAACTTCAGGGAGAAAGGGGTTATTTTAGTTCACATTCCAGGTTACAGCCCATCACTGCAGGGCAATCAAGGCAGGAACATGAAGCAACTAATTACACCCACAGTCAAGAGCACAGAAAGAATGCATGTATGCTTAGTGCTCAGCTAACTTTCTCTACTCTTATATAGACCAGGGCCCCAAACCAGGGAATGGTACCTCCCATTTCCATGTTGGGACTTCCCACATTAATTAAGGCAATTAAGACAATCCACCACAGACATCCCTACAAGCTAACCAGATCTAATCGCTTACTGAGATTCTCTTCCCAGGTGATTCTAGGTTGACAAACTAATTGCCACAGCTAGTAATATATTACTTGATAATTTCATATTAATTAGGTGAATGTATAAAAGTACTTATTCTATAAGAAGTGGGGTTTAACCAGATGTGGTGGCAGAAGCTTTTCATTCCAGCACCAAGGAGGCAGAGACAGGAGGATCTCTATGAGTTTGAGGTCAGTCTGGTCTACATAGAGAGTTCCAGGTCAGCCAGGGCTACATAATGATACCCAACCCCATCTCAAAAAACAAACTCTCTCTCTCTCTTTTTTTTTTCTCTCTCACACACACACACACACACACACACACACACACACACAAGCAAACAAAGGAAAAGAAACAGATTTTAAATCCATGTGCAACAAATCTTACCTATGCAAAAAGCTTTCTTTTGCTAGCTGAATTTGTAGTGTTCCACCTTTCCATTTTGTTTTATTTAAAACAGACATGCCTATGAGATAAAGAATTACCAAAGTTCATTACAATGCAAAATTGTATTTCAGTACATTTTTTTTACCTAATTACATAATACCAAGAAATGTAGCCTTATTTGTCACAAAAGAGACACCTACATTGTAGAAGAAAAAGTGACCTGAAGAGGACCTAGGTTCCTGTTTTATTTTGACCAGTTAGCAGGCTGCTGCTTTTTCTCCCTTTTTTTTTTTTTTTTAAGATTTTTATTTATGTGCACATTAGTTCAATTATGTGTGTGTGTGTACCTGCAGAAGCTAGAAGAGAGTGTTAGATCCCCTGGAACTGGAGTTACAGGCTGTTGTGAGCTGCCACATGTGGGTACTAGGAACCGAACTTGGATCCTCTTCAAGAACAGCAAGCACTCTTAATAGCTGAGTCATCTCTCCTGCCCCAGTTAGGTTTCTTATGGCCCCTACCTCACAATTACTAAAAGACGAAAATGAGAAAAATAAAATAAGGCCAGGCGTGGTGGCAAACGTCTTTAATCCCAGCACTTGGGAGGCAGAGGCAGGTGGATCTTTGTGAGTTTGAGGCCAGCCTGGTCTACATAGTGAGTTCCAGGACAGCAGGACAGCTGGGGCTACAGGGAGACCCTGTCTCAAAAAGACAAAAAAAAAAAAATTTAAATAAATAAATAAAAATAAATAAACTGTAAAGCAAAATGTATGAGCATGCTGTTTATAGACATGAACTTCTGGTGAATAAATGGTATTTAATATTTTGTTATTTTTCATATGGCAAATAAGCAATTGAATCTTTTCAGGGTGAGTTAAGGACAGTTTAGAATCCTGTAGCACTTTTATCATTAACCTCATACCAATTACCACTGCAAAGCATGCAAAAAAATTAGCTAGTGATTGAATGGTGTTTGAATTGTGGTGCCGTAGTAGTTGATTTTTGTAAATATCTGTTGTCAGAGTCTTTAATATAACCACTAACAGATTTTACCATGTGCCAGATACTTTACTAAGAATAAATGTATTATTTAATTTAACCCTTATATTAACATTGAGGTAAGCACAGTAGTTTTTTGTTTACCAAATAAGCAATGGGACTTAGAAGTCTAAATAAACTATCTCACACAATATACTCACTGAACTTTCTTTTTGCAAATGGAATTATAAAAGACTATCTTCTAAGAGGATGTTCCTTTTACTTGCTTTTTCAGTATCTTTTTCTTTTTTGACTTCCAAGTACCTAGAATACATTAATGTAGCAGCAGAATGATAGAGTATCTTCTGCTTTTTATTCACTGAATGGCATCATCTACCCTTAACTCTACTAATCTTATAACAAGAGATATCACAGTTTCAAAGACATGGTCTTACAAGGTCATATTCTAGTGTTCTTTCATAACAGCTGCTCTTAATGACAAAGGATTAACTGACCTAGAAAAGAACAGACTTTATAGTTTTCAAGTTCATTTTTATGTTATGTGTATTACTGTTTTGCCTGCATGTTATTTAAGTGCATGCAATGCCCACAGAGGCCAGAAGATGGTGTTGGATTCCCTGGAATTGGAGTTATCAACCATTGTTAGCCACTGTGTGGGTACTGGGAACTGAACCCAGATCCTCTGCAAGAGCAGCCAGTATTCCTAACAGCTAAGCCATCTCTCCAGCCCCCCTAAGAATAGATTTTTGAGAACTGTATAATATTCTGTGGAATATGTGTGATAAACAGTTTCTATGAAGTCTGGGCCCTTTGTTCAAATTATTTTAAAATACTGAGCAAACCTACTAGCATGTTATAGTATAGGTCTTCTGACAAACAAAATGAACTGAAATCTGAGGTGTGGGGTACCAGAATTCTCTTGATCATGGTTGCCCATCTATATGACTTATAAGTGATTAGTGAGACTTAAATATAGAACCAAAGTCATTTAAAGTTACACAGTGACACTAATTGACAAATAGAATGATCTTACATTTTTTCAGGTCTGTTTCTGCTATTTTGATGTTAACATATGCAAAGATTTTCTGTGAGTTTCCTAAAAAAAAAGAAAAATAAGTCTGTTTAAATTTCTATCAAGAGAACAATATTCGTAAATCTCATTAGCTTTCTAAGTTTAAAAGAGTTCAAAGAAATGCATTCTTTTAAAATTATTTTTCATCAGACTGCATTTTTCTAAACATGACCAAAACATTCCAAACTAAAACAAGTAATAAATCTCAAGTACTTTGTTAAACACAACTTGATTGTATGTTAGTCTGTTTAACAGGATAATGTTAGAATGTTGACTCCTGGCACTGAAAAGTAAATATTTCTTGAAAATCAAATATTTTATAATTTTTCTGATTTCAGAAATGAAGTTTGGTCAAGTTCCATATCATACGTAATACATCTAGGGCATTATATATTATTTTCAATGTTGGAGCTAACATTGAGCTCTCAAGTTGCTTTCTTTTGTAATATCTGCCCTGAGCTACGACTGCCCTTAATTACTCAGTGAAAGGTTATGAATTTACCTTGCTCATCTTTCCGGGTGATGATCTCCACATCAGAAACTTCTCCAAATCTGGTGAACTGGTCTTGTAGGTCTGTCTTTGAAATGGCCTGGCTAAGGCCACCTACAAAAAGGCGCTTTGTTTCTCTGTTGGCTTTCATGAAGTCTGGGCATGTATGGGGGAAAAGAATTTTCTGTATTAAAATGCATTCTCACAGTTCACAAATACAACACAATTCTTTCCCCTGAAACTTCTGTGCCAAATGGTCTTCTGGACCTATGTTGCTCCCATTTTTTTTATTTTATTTTAAATTGTTTGTTTTGTTGAGATAGGGTCTTCCTATAGCCTCGGCTGGCCTGGAACTCACGACGTAGACCAGGCTGGCCTCCATCTATGGAGATCTGCCTGCCTCTGCTTCGCAAGTACTGGGATTAAAGGTAAGCCACCATAACTGGCTGCTTCCAAATTTTATCACTGGAAATTTTGCTCAGCCCTACATGCATATTTTCCATGAATGCACTTTGGAGCTATACTCACTTGCAATATACACACATACACACGTTTTCTCTGTAAACAACCACAACTATTATATCTTACTCTTTATCATTTTCCTGGTCACATTACTAGATTTTTCCTTGATTCGTTTACAGATTGATTTTTTTTCCACTTTAACAGATGCGCTTACAAATATAGTAACCTAAACGACAAAAACATGTCTCCACCCTGGAGCTCAATAGTCATACAAGAACTAAACAAACTCTGCAAGTAGACTATTACGGAATAAAAGTGTACACAAAGTGCTGTTCAGGGAAGAAATGGGCAACTGACAAACCAGCTAAAATCCACCCCACCCTCCGCTCTCTGCCCGCATTTTACAAAGTAGTTTGCGCTTATTTTCATTTTTCAGAGGGGTAGGAAAGGTTACGTTCCTTTCTCGATCCCAGGAAGAAAACATTAGAGGTGACGTCGAATTTCAGAAGCTGGAATTAGCATTATACTACCAGAATTGTTGGGAAAGTTTTCCAGCGCTCCCTCCATCTCGTTTAGCTCCTCGGAAGCTGACAGAGTCCTGTCAGAAGCTCAAAGTTAGGAGTCTGACAGAGAGCTGCGGTGCACCTCTTCCCAGAGCCTCGGCCCCCCTCTACCCACCGCCTTCCTCCTCAAAGAAGACTGGGAAAAGGAAGGCGGAGACAAGGCCCAACACCCCACCACTCCTGACGCCCTAACACACCCCTCACCACTCCGTCTCCCAGCCGGGGTAGCGTCTTCCCTAAAGTCTATTTCACACGTGCAATCGGATGCATTTTTCCTTCCTTCCTACAGCATTTCTAAACAGCTTCCTAAGGTTCCGCTTCCACGCAGTTCCCGAAGACTCTTTATTTCGTCTGCCTTCTTTCCGACTCACGTTCAGCTACCTCGTCTACAACTTCTGCAGAAGACGCCGAGTCAAAATTCCATGATTTCTACGGAAGAAACAGGCGGCAGCGTGAGCACAGACTTCCGTACAGAGTCGGCGGAAGTGAGGGTGCGGAACAAAAATAAGGAGACTCTACTCCTTAGCATTTCCCCAAACCACCTCCTCAGAGACGTAAGGTCCGGGTGCCTCCAAGGCAGTTGGGATGGGGGTTGTCGGTTGAAAGGCTGAAGGAGTTTGACAGAATTGGGACGAACCAACTTTCAGAGGCGTCGGGGGTGGCTGGAGGTCTCCGCGGCTACGTTTGAGGGACGTGAAGCCTGTGGCAGGTTGTTTGACGTGGAAGAGGACGAGCGTCGCTACGTCTCCTCCCCGCGAGATCTCCCGAGTGGTCCGCGCCCGAAGCGCGCGCGAATCTTGAAGCGCCCGTCCCGGCTCCCTGGTTAGACTGTGGGCTGCTCCTTCCATGGCGTTCGAGGCGGGTGGCTCTATGGATGCGGAGGCTCGCGAGGTGCGAGCCCTGGAGGCCGAGATCGCCGCGTTGCAGAGGCGGTGCCAGGAGCTGCCGGCGCCGGGAGAGAAGCCGTCCGGAGTCCGGTACGTGGTGCCTGTCCACCCCTCCGGCTCGCCGATCAGGTCTGTGGGCGAGGCAGGCCGACCTCCTGACAGCTCCCGCCGCACTCCCCGCACCCCTGGTGCTGAACTTCGTAGTGTGGGACCGCCCCAACGTGAACGTGAATGTAATCGATTCCGTGTGTCCAGAGAGTGTGCACCGCGTTTGGAGCTCAAGCGCTTTGCTGTGAATGATCTTGGTTGCGTATCTTTGGGAGAAAGCGCTTTTCTTAAGGTCTTGCCCTGTTGATGAGTATCATGGGGCAGGATTTTGCTTTTCTCCTTCATGTAATCTTGCTTTCCGGGAAATGGCAGTGTCTAGTTGGATTGTTTGTTTTTATGGTTTCTGAGGCATTCTTATTTTGTAGGTCCAACTGGCCTGGAAGTCTCTCGCGCTTGGCCTGGAACTCAGGAACCTCCTAAGCCACCATGCTCTGCTTTAGTTGGGATGAGCAACTGTTTTCATGGCATTTGTTTTTGTTGGTCACCTAAACCGTAATTATGTGATACTGACTTTGTGTAAAGCTCTAGGGATTTATTGACTCTGGTTTCTTAGCATTTGTTTTTGCGGGTCACCTAGCCTTAGTTAAGTGATACTGATTTTTTTTTTTGTCTTATGCTAATATAACGTGATGGCTGGGGATGTAGCTTTGTGGCAGAAAGCTTGCCTAGTATGCATAAGGACCTGAGGGGGAAGGACTGGTTGGAGGAATGGGGGTGGGAGTGGCAGAGTTAATGACAGAAAATTTCTTTTGAAAAATAACTTAGGTGAAATAAGTTGGTATAGGAAAAGTGTATAATATATAGGATAATTTGATAATCTTTGGATTGTCTGGAAGTCTCATTTAAAGTTAATGAATTTAACTGGGTGCAATAGTACCCAACACTTTAATCCCAGCACTCAGGAGGCAGTAGGCAGATCTCTGTGAGATGGAGGGCCAGCCTGGTCTACCTAGCCAGTTCAGGCCAGCTAGAACTACAGGGAGACTGTGTCAAAAAACCAAATAAAGGAAAAAGTCAAGCTACTTAACAGAAGCTTAGGCTTGAAGAGCTACATCACAACCCAAATGACCAATATATAAGAGCAATGGTCAAATTCTTCGCTAATAGATGAAATACCACTTAAAGCACAACGAGACAGACCTGCACACTAACTAAATGGTGTGAACTAAAAAGCATGGCACTAGAGCTGGAGAGATGGCTCAGTGGTTAAGAGCACTGACTGCTCTTGCAGAGGATCCAGGTTCAAATACCGGGGGGCACAGAGGCAGGCAGATCTCTGTGAGTTCAAAGCCAGTCTTGTGTACATAGTGAGTTCCAGGGCAGCTGGGGCTACAAGGAGAACCTGTTTCAAAAAGACTAAATAAATAAATAAATAAATAAATAAATAAATAAATAAATAAATAAGTTAATGGACTTGACTGTAAGAAAAGTAGCTTGTCTCATGATCCTAGAGAAATCCAAAGTCCAGGCATTCTCCTTGATTGAAGGAAGAAAGGAGGCTGGGAACTAAGAGTTACTTAGTATCTCAAACATGAAAAGAAACAGCTTTGATTTTTTAGTAAGGTATAATTTTGTAGGAGTGCAGAGAATGAGATTTTCTTGAGCTGAGAAGAGCCACAAGTGTGCAGAAAAAATGCCTAAAGAAAATTTCTTTAAAGAGCTGTAACTGGTGAAAGGGCAGGAAAAGTGTATCTGCTCCTCCTAGAGGAGGAAGTTATGTAAGAGACTCTCCTGCTTACTTCAAACTCCACCCACAGATTGGAAACATTAGAATCACCTGGGAGTTGGTGAGACACTACAAATTTGCTGAATCAAAATCTGCATCTTATCAAGACAGCCTCCCCCCAATACCCTTTGAATGCACACTTAAAAGTTTGAGAAGCACTGTCATACCACAGGGAAAAAGTTTTTTTACTCACCACAAGATGTCAGTATTATTCTAGGAGAGTATAGTAGAATGCTTTTGTAATCTGAGACTCCATAAGGCATGAGAAGTCCAGATTTGGGGAGACATTAAATGTCAATCCAAGGGGTGTGGATTTAATACGAAGTTTTTCTCACTGTGGTGGAAAAGGAAGATTGAGACCTGTGTGCCAAGCTTTTTTTTTTTTTTTTGGTCTTTTTGAGACAGGGTCTCCCTGTAGCCCCAGCTGTCCTGGATTCACTATGGAGACCAGGCTGGTCTTGAACTCACAGAGATCCACCTGCCTCTGCCTCCTGAGTGCTGTAATTAAAGGCGAGCGCCACCATGCCCGGCTAAAGCTACTTATTAATTATGTTTGTGAGAGAGGGCACCTGTGTGTGGAGGTCAGAGGACAGCTTTAAAGAGTCAGTTCTCAGGTCAAGCTTGTGCAGCAAGAGCTTTTACCCATTGAGCTATCTTGCTTGTCCTCCAAGCTACTTTTTTTTTTTTTGGAGACAGGGTCTCCCTGTAGCCCCAGCTGGCCTGGAACTCACTATGTAGACCAGGTTGGCCTCAAATGCACAAAGATCCTCCTGAGTGCCGGGA